GTATAAACGGGGAGGAGCTGGCTGGGGGCAGCGGTCGCTGCTCAGGGACAGGCCGGGCATCAGTCAGCAGGTGATGAGCAATTGCATTGTGCATCGCTTGTTTTGTATATTCTTTTATCATTATTATTTTCTCTTCCTCTGCTGTCCTATTAAACTGTCTTTATCTCAACCCACAGGTTTTGCTTTTTTTTTTTCCAATTCTCTCCCTGATTCCACCCGGGTGCTGGGGGGGGTGAGTGAGCGGCTATGCAGTGCTCAGTTGCTGACTGAGGTTAAATCACGACAATCTGCATTACTTCAAAATAATTAAAATAAAGGTATACAAGACACCATCCCAGTAGGTCCCACGTATATAAGCTTTTTTCCCCCTAATCCAACATGCTCAAAATAGTTAAATATATTCAAATAATATATTACTAGAAATAGTATCACACCTTCTGGCCATATTTTGAAAGGAGGTTTGGTTTTGTTTTCTTTACCCAAAAGAGGAAAAAATTAAATAGAGACTCTTGAAAAGGGGAGTAGTCTTGACCTTTAGGAGAGCACGAGTTGGGAAACTGAGTTTTGTCTTTGCCGTTTGCAGGAGTGACAGAGCTCGCTGGATTACAGTGCTTGGACAGGACAGCGACGGGCAGAAGACTGACAGGACAAGTAAGTTACAACTAACAGGATTTCTGAGAGCTTTGACACAAGAGTGGAAATGCACTGCCCCTTAGTGGGGACATGAGCAAGTGTAGACTATAAATACCCTTAGAAATGTTGTCCGTTTCTTTTCCTGAGCTCTCTTGCTTTTGTATACGTGAAGTTGCCATCTCTTCCTGTGCCCAGGGGCTGCTTTGAGGAGTTCTGTTCTGCGCAGTAATTGCCATTTGCATTCATTAACGCTGTCAGTTGTTTCAATCTCTTAGCAAAAGTGCAAAGCCCCTTCCCTCGTATGCTCGTATGTTCATCCCAAGTTTGTTTGTGTGTAATTGCTCAGGTAGAAAGCCATTTGCATAATTTGCTGCCTCCTTTGGTTTTGGGGGGTGGTGGTGGTGTTATACTCAAAGATGGAGGTTTTTAAAATAAATTGTATATAAGTTTTAATAAAATATACTGTTGGTATGTGAATTGTTTAATTCAGCCTGGCTTACTTCTTCCACAGCTTTGACTCAGGTAGAGATCATCAGAACTTACACAGCAAAGCAGTCAGATGAACTGTCTCTTCAAGTTGCTGATGTTGTTTTGGTTTATCAAAAAGTAAACGATGGTGAGTGAGAACTTTGCTGTTAGTAACCATCTGTCACCACTGCAGGTGAATCCAGCTAGAAAAACTTGTTTCCTAATAGCATTGGCCGTACAATGAATAAAGGTGTAGCTTCCAAGAAAAACTTGAGCATTTAGGTTCAGGTTTCTAAAGGACAGCCTCTGTTTAGGCAACAGATGTTCAAAGTAACTCATCGCCTGTCATAATTCGTACAGGTAAATAGCTGCAGAAAGTATGTGCTGGTTGGTTTTGACATGTGAAATATCCACAAATAAGAAATTGAATTATACCTAAAAACATGGAGCTCAGACTTTTTAGTGCATGAGCACCAGGTTTGTCTGAGTAAGAGAAACATACACATCATTAGTCATGTCACATACTGTGCTTCACTGCCTGTTAAGTATAGGGGTCTAGCACAGTGTTTTTGCCTAAGTTTCCCACAGCATCAAGTACCCGGGGATCAAAATCGATTCTTGCCTGGACGTGCAAGTGATTCTACTAACATCTCATGGTGTGCTGACTCAGTGATGCTTGAAGCTGCCAGCACTTGAAGTACTAAGTCCTAACTTAATGATGTTACTCAATATTACATATGAAATGAAAGGTCCTGTCAATTGTGCTGCATTGCTTTCTTTAGATTGCAATTATATTCTTTTTATTATTATTTCAAACAATATATTTGAATTACAATATAGAAAATGTATTACACTTGTTTCATGTAATTATTTTTACATATGAATTCCTAGTCTGTCCGTAAAAAAAAAAAATAAAAAAAATCTGCTGAATCTATCCTAATCTGAAACTCTATTTGCAACAAAGGTAAATACGTAATGTATGTGATGACTGTGTCAAGTGCAACACACAGTTCTGACAAAGTATCTTTAACAGTACTCCAAAAGGTTTGTTACTCCTTGTCCGTTCACCCTTGCAGGCTGGTATGAAGGGGAACGACTGCGGGATGGCGAAAGAGGTTGGTTTCCCATGGAGTGCGCTAAAGAAATCACGTGTCGTGCCACGATTGACAAGAACATGGAACGGATGGGACGCTTACTTGGACTTGAAACCAATGTGTAGACTGTTGTTGCTTCTTCATGCTGTCCTACGGGATTTGCACTAACTGCTGTCGGCGGGGGCATGGTTGCATGCCCTACAGCTCTTGCGTGGAAGATGTGCATCACCAATGCAAAAAATCTAGTAACAAACAGAGCACTGATGTTTTGGATACTAATCCCTTTTTTGTTTTGCATTTTGAGAGCTTTGAACTCTGAAACCTGGGCTCAACCAGTAGCAGATTTCAACTAGAAGTTGTTTCTTAGGCACTGGAGATCAGCCATGCATCTCTTTCTTTGACTCAAACTTCAGTTTCAACTTTAGTTCCTCCATCCCTGCCTCTTCACGTATTTTTCTCCATCCATTTTTGAGCATTTTTGACTTTCTTTCAGAAGCAGAACTCCGTAGCAGGCTGCGTAGGAGACAACACCAGAAACTCACCCAATCCATTGAGCTGGAGGTGAATAGCAATACTGGGGGTTTTGGGCTCCTAAGGACCTGCTGTTAATCTGTGTGTAACCTGAACTACACTAACCAACCAACCTGTAATTCATAAAGGACTACCTCTCCAGCACAAATCCAGGCTTTGTAAGGAGTAATTAGATCACACTAAGCAATGTTGGTAAAGCTGACATGAGCTCCAGGGAAGAATCTAGAGAAGTGCCTCCAGTGGTGGTGGTCTCTAATACAGTGTGTTACTCATTCAGGCAGCTCAGACTTTTTCTCCTTCTAGTGCTGCAGTGGTAAAAGGATTTCTGAAAGCAAGAAAGAAAGAGGTACCAAACTCTGCAAACTACATAATGTGGATTATCTGGTTCTCAGATCCATTTTAGCACAGGTATTTTAAATAACTGCTGGAAATTGTCCATCTTGTTTCAGTCTTTGTTTGTTTAACTAGGTCTTCATATTAAGTTATTGCTGCAGAGCAAGGGTTTTGATGGGGACTGCAGAAAACATGAAATACTTTGTTCTGGGTTGGGGGGGGTGGTTTGGGATTTTGTCTTTTAGTCTTTCTGCTCTTCTGTACTAGAGGAGATCATTTCCTTCTGTGGAGGCAAAAAAAGAGAGAGAAGAGTGAGCTGTAAAGTTTTGTTAAGGTGCCAGGTCTTCTCATCTCCAGCGTATATAAATGGTAAGACCACCACTGAGGAAAGAGTTGGAAGTAGGTAGCTCAGGACCTTGATTAACTTGGTATTGTGTTTGCCTTCCCCTACTACAGTGTGACTTGATGTCATTGGATGCTTCAGGCAGAGATAGAGAGGGACGGAAGAGAGTGATAAAATAGCAGTTGGACCTTGCTTTCAGAAGAGCTCGCATTGGTGCTGCTTCAACACATGCTCTTCTCTGCTTTAGAGAAGGCTTCTCACAGTTGCACTACACACAACACCGCTAAATTTTTGCATCTGCAGTTTAGCTTTGGAATATCACAGAAAAAACCCAACCACTTAATGTTGTGTGAACAAAATGCACTCAAATTAAATAAATTTCAGTGCATCTTTTATGTATATAGATATGATAGTTTGTGTATAAAAAATCTTCACCTCTTTCAGGACCAGCTGATAACTCAGCAGGATAGAATACGCATTCAATAAAAATGAGGGGAAAACCATGTAGTACAAAGGCTTTCTTCCTGTTGCATTCCCTGTCTTTTTTAAAGGGGCTGTATGTTGTTTTATATACTGTAATATGTTGATTGGATTTGTGAATGAATTGGATGTTTATAAATATGTATCTCTGTAACAATTTAAAATATATTAGGAAGGCAGTAATTTTGTACAAAAATACTTACCTTGACAGTCTGACAGTGGTTATACAGCCTTGTAAATTAATTTGTAAGTAAGTGGACTGATAAAATAGTACTGAGACAAACTGTAAATTGAACAAAGACTTATTTAACATAGTAAGAATACTGCTAATATTTTAACAAATTTTATTGTACACAGGCAGATGTTTAACACATAACTGAATGTATAAATCCAGAGATTAATGTTATTCAGATTTTTTTAATACATTGTATATATTTTTCATACCTAGTTTTTCCAAAAATGTTGTAATGTTTTTTAAAGACATTTTTCTTTTTTCCTATTGTCAGACACAGTTCTTCAGGAATTAAAGACTTTGTGATTTTATAGGACAACAATCAATAAAATGCTTTTAAATCCTTACTAAAAAAAGCTTCAGTTTTTCTTTAAGAAATACGGTTAGACTGCAAGTTGTTAACGTCATTCTTGTCAGAGAAATTAAATCTGTTCTGTAACTTGTGGCATTTTAAATGAACATGTGTCCTATGTCATAGATCCAGTTTACATGTATGTCCATGAAAGCTGGAGCAATGGCATAAAATGCAGGCCTAGGAGAGCATCTCGTCTACCAGTTAAGAGTCCGTATCAGGAGAGGGAGATAGGAAACCAGTCAAGAATAGAAGGTTCTTTAACTATCTGCTTCTATAGTAGAGTTGGAACTTCAGGGGTGACCAAAAGTTAAAGCCTGTTCCTAAGGGCATTGTCCAAATGCCTCTTAAGCAAGTGACAGGCTTGGGGCATCGAGCACCTCTCTAGGAAGCCCGTTCCAGTGTTTGACCACATAAAGAAACATTTTCTAATGTAAAGTCTGAACCTCCCCTGATGCAGCTTTGAACCATTCCCAGGCATCCTGTCCCTGGATCTCAGGGCGAAGAGCTCAGCACCTCCCTCTCCACGCCCCCTCCTCAGGAAGCTGCAGAGAGCAAGGAGGTCTCCCCTCAGCCACCTCCGAGACAAACCCAGAGTCCTCAGAGGACATACATACATGCATTCCAGCCCTGTCACCAGCTGTCGCCCTCTGTCAGCCTCTAAGAACCTGGTCCTGCACTCTGATACATCTTGTACGCCTGACTTCTAGAAGTACCTGTGCAGAAGATGATAGTTCAAAATTAATCAGGAGAGAAGGCTGAAACAAGGCCCTACTGTAAAGCACCTGGGAAGTGGAAATGTTGGATCCAGGTCTTTTGCTAAAGATGACTGCATTAGTTACTATTAAATAGTTACAATAAATGCTGGAAGACTGTATTTTAATTAAAACACGACTTAGTTTATCTATGGGTTAGTATACAAAGGAAGACAATTGCTTGTACTAAAAACTACACCTTATTCAGTGAGCCACGTACTGCCCCTATCCTTGAGAAGGGGCAAGGCTCCAGCTCCCAAGTGCACGCAGGCACCTCCCATACAGCCTTACTTCAGCAGCTTCTCCACCACCACCGTTTCCCATTGAGCACTGATGCCTGCTGGCCACCACAGTGGGCTGGGAACCTTCTCCAGAGTGGTGACCACCTTGCCCTTAGCCTAGGAACTGTTACAGCCTCGCTGGCACAGGAGTGGCAGCTACAAATTCATTTGTCTCTATGCTTGTCCCAACTGTGTGTCTGCACCCACCTACAAGGTGCCTAAACAAAGGATTAAAAAAAAAAAAAAAAAAAAAAGGGTGGCCTTTTGGTGAGCTATTGAAGTCACACAACATTTTCTAGGCAAGCAGCTGATGCCATCAGTGTTTTCTAAGCTGCACAGCTCCATTCAGCCCTGTGTAATTCCCCCAGGCACAGAAATAAAAGACTTCACACCACCTTCTGTTTAGCGTAGCATCAGCACGGGCCTGGAATAGGCATCTAGCAGGCACAACACTGATAACAACTGTTACGACTCTTAAAATACTTGACTTTCACTCTAGTCTAAATTCCTCATAGCTCCAAGAGGTCTTAGAAATTTAAGACAGCATGACAAGCAATTCAGCAAAAAGTTTGTATGAACAAGTTTTCAAAAACAGTTTTGTTTGTTTTGGTTTTTTCCTTTCTAGCAACTCCACAATATTTTCATCAGCAAAAAAAGGAAGCCATCTTTTAACTGCTCTAAGATGAGCACTTCTACTTCCGAGGGAATGATCTAAACTCATTCATTGCTTTCACTGACCGATGTGTGCACATGCATGCATGGACACACACGCTCGCTCTTTCTCTCCTACCCAAGGATGAGGATATGACAGCAGTACTTCCTTTTTGATTAAACAGCCCAGCAGTGACAGACTACAGCTGGGAGTTTGTTACTGTAAAATTAACTTTCATTTCATTTTTGCAGGGCCTGGAATTTGTACCCCTTCCTTACGTGACTTCTCTAATTGGGTTTTAAGCACGTTGACCAAAAATAAAAGGCTCTCTGTTCCCTGAATCAAAGTTTCATTTTACACGATGCAATTGAATACTCATTATGTAAGGTGAGCAGAAACCATGCAAAGTCCAACGTGCATGACTGGCCCAGCGATTAGGTACCCGCATGGATGAGAACCAAATCTGAGGTTTACACTTACCCCTCACTGAAGCCAAGACCGAACTGAGCACCAGCACGGCCAGGGGAAGGCGATGGGGTGAGCCCAGATGCCTACCTCGGGTCTGGGGGCTCCTGGAAGCCATCAAGCAGCCCCTCAGGAAACCAGTGCCCCCCTGACACCGACCCATGTCAGCATTTCCAACTACTCATGTGACACAACTAAAGAACAGCTATTAATACTGTCTTTTCTTCTTCTTTATATCACCCCTGAAATGTAATAAATAGAACATTTTTATCTGCTGAACTTTTAAAAAAGTAACACCACAATGCAGTATTGTTCTTGACTTTCATGTCAAAGATTAAATTTGTTCTCCATTATGCAAAGCTAATCTGCTGAAAATAATAAGGTAAAAGTAGCACCACTTCAGTCAACCTACACCACCTCATGAAACGCAGTCTTTGTGCAGCATCATACGTACATGCACATACCTTAAACTCTGTATCTATGGAATATATCCACACAAACATTTTTCCCTGTATATCCTGTTTCTAAAGTAACACACTTAGTCAACACAAGTGGACAGAACCCAAGTGTTTGTTAGAAACAAACCAGAGTAAATTTTGATGCCAAGACTGAGGAAATCTGAGGAGGTCTCGTTTCCTGGGAAGTACAGAGATAGTTCTTCAGTGGTGCTCTTAGCTCTACTGTAGTCTGCAAATGATTTT